CACAGCAGACTATTTCAGTTAATGCTAATTATTTTTTGTCATTGTGTGGGTTTTTTTTTTTTTTTTTCTTTTTGTGAGATGAGGTCTTGCTGTGTTGCCCAGACTGGCCTTGAATCTGAAATCTTCCTGCCTCAGCTTCCCAATAGCTGGGATTAGAGGTGTGTACCACCATACCTGGCTCGATGCTAAGTGTTATTAATGAGGTTATTTTTAGAGACAAATTATAGATAATAATAATGCCTCCTGATGATTATTTGCAGTGTGTCAGGCACTGTAGGTCTACCAACTCACTCGATTCTTATGGTGACTTCACACCTTCTTGTGGGTCTCCAGTTTCTAGGATATACTTTCTGCATGGGAAGGGTCCTCTGACACACATCTTCCAGACTTGTCCCTCACACCGGTAATGTGGCAAATAACTCTGAAAGGCAAGTCCCTAAAAAAATAAGAGCACTTCTTAGCAAACTCCTGGGAAGGGAAGAATTCTGTTGTCATGGGATGGATGTGTCGTCACTTCCTAAACATGCAGAAAGCAGAAGATGGCAGGTTGCTTCTGCCTCTAATATCACCTCACCTATTTGCTGGCCTAGCAGCGCTCTCTAGATCCTTCTAGATCTTCTGGAGGATGTGTGAAGTGAAAAGTGGCTGTGGATGCTGGGCATGGTGTGCACATCTATAATCCCAGTACTTGGGAGGTTGAGGCAGGAGGATCACTGCAAGTTCAAGGCCAGCCTGGGTTATATAGTGAGACCCTGTCTCACAAAAACAAAAAACAAAAAAAATTGACAAATAAAAGTGGCTGCAGGGCAGGAAGCTTGTAAGTTAGGTACCAGCCTGGGTTACATGGCTTGGACTACATAGTGAGACCCTGTCTCAAAAAAAAAGGAAAGAAAAAGTGGCTCCAGAACACCCCCCCACACCCCCTTCCCACAGGTTGGGGGGCTTACACCCTGCTCTGGTCCTACCAATGATTTAGAAGCTGTTCCCTGTGCACTAGGGTCTATGCTGAGAGCTCTGCATGTGTCATCTCATTTAACAGAGGACGAAACTGAGGCCTGATGCCCTTGCCCATGTGATGACAGAGCCAGGTCCCAGCCAGAGGCTGCCTAGAGGTCACGTGCTGAGCCTCAGGTTGCCTTGCTTGGCTGACCTGGGACACTCGGTCCATGCAGCCTGCTTACCATGTTTACATGTTTGCTTCTGTACTTGTTCATATGTAAATATATTTTAGTGAATTACCATACAAATCATAATTTGCAGAGGACCTAGCCCAGTAGGCTGTCATTATTATTGGACTCATAAATGGATGGGTTCCTGACAATTAGGCCAAACAAATCCTATTTTCTTTTTTGGTACCAGGGATCGAACTCAGGTCCTTGTGCTTGCGAGGCAGGCGGTGGAACCACTGAGCTAAATCCCCGGCCCCACTAATTCTATTTTCTCCACCACTTTAGCTTATGGCTCAGTGCACAGCTATGTAGTTTGCCTGAGCTCTTAAAGATTCTCCATCTTTCCAGTGAACTCCATCCTCCAGACTTCTCCCTCACACCCGTAATGCAGCGAACAATGCTGAAAGGCAAGTCCCTGAAAAATGAGAGCATTTCTTAGCAAATTCTCTTGGGAAGGGAAGAATCCTGTTGTCATGGGATGGATACATCATCTCTTCCTAAATTTTCTTTCATAATCTCAAGAATCCTCCTCAGGATCCTGGGAGGAGAAGGGGAAGGGAGCCCCTGCCCCTGGGCCCTAAGGCTGGGGAAAGCCCGGGGAGCCTCTCTGGTGCTGCCAGTCACCAGAGTGGTCTGAGGTGTGAGCTCTGTCACTGGCATCACCTTCCTCGTGGGCAGCACGGGAAATGCAGTTTCCTGGGCCATTCCAGCCCCACTGACGCCAGGTCTCTGGGAGTCTCCATGGCCCTACATTTGGTACATTTCCGGAGCTGTGGTCTTTTTCTAACATCAAGGGGAAGAAGACTGAGGCAGGGCTGGAATTAGGGGAGAAATGTGCTTTAAAAGCACTTCACCTGATGACCCTCACACATCTTTCCTGCCTGATTGTCATCATGGCCGCACTTGTCTCATTACTGTCAACTTCCTCAATGCACCGCTGTTCTAAGGCTCCCCCTGTGGAAGACAAAGTGATGGGAGTAGGCACTACCCCCACCCCCTGCTCGTACAGCACTCACGTCTTTCAGGCCCCTCTCCATCTTCCTCCATGTTCTGCTCTGCTGCTGCTGTTGCATTGGGGCAGGAGGGTATATGATGATGATGGCAGCTCTAGAATGTGCAAAGACCCATTACCTTTATGAAGGTCAGAGGTGATATTCCTAGGAATCAGTTTGTGTTTGCATTTGGGGCACTGATATTTTGTGCCTAATTTAATATGGACTGGATTGAGAGAATGGGAGTCTGTCTGTTTTCTCTCCCTGCCTGACCTTCCTTCCCTTCTTCCCGAGTTTGTTTACTCCTTGTCTGTAGCTGCTTCTGCAGACTTCATCAGTCTGGCCTGCCTGAGGTGCCCTTCCAAGATGCCATTCCTGCTACATGGGGGAGAGGACAGCAGAGGAGACAGGGCCTATGGCTCTGCCTGGCTTAGGCTTAGGTGGGGGATTATTCTAGTGTCTGTGGGAAGACAGGAATAAATGTATGTGGAGCAACTTGCTACAACTCAACAACAATACTAAGTAAACATACTGATTTTTTTGTACTGGGGATCGAACTCGGGACCTTGCACTTGCAAGGCAGGCACCAGAGCCACTGAGCCAAATCATCCTGATTTTAAAATGAACAAGAGACTCAAACATTTCTCCACAGAAGATATGCAAATGGCCAGCAAACACATGGAAAAATGCTCAACATCACTAAATCTAAGGGAGTTGCAAATCAAAACTGCAATGAGATAGGCTCGCTCTGATGGTTACTCTCAAACAGAAGCCAAGTGTTGTCAAAGATGTGGGGAAATTGGGTTCTTTATCCACACTGCTGGTAGGAATCTAACATGGTGTAGCCACTATGATAGTTCCTTAAAAAATTAGAATTCAGGCTGGGGATATAGCTAAGTTGTAGTAGAGCAGTTGCCTGGCATATGTAAGACCCTGGGTTCAATCCTTAGCACTACAAACAATAAACAAACATATAAAAAAATTTTTTAAAGGATACTTTATTTTTTAAAAAAAGCAGGGGTGGGCCAGGGATTTAGCTCAATGGTTTTGCCACCTGCTGCACAAGCGCAAGGACCTGAGTTTGATCCCCGGTACCAAAAAAAAAAGCTGGGTACACATGCCTGTAATCCCAACACGCTGGGAGGCTGAGGCAGGAGGATTACAAATCTGAGCCCAGCTGGAGCAACTTAGCAATTTAGTGAGATACCAGATACGTGCTTCACGTCATGGCTTTGCTCAATATAACACCCTTGAGAAGTGGGGTCAGTGGGCAAGTCACTTTCCAGGCCCTCCGTCTGTCTCTCTTAGACGAAAGCTATCATTCTCTCAATAAATTTTGCGTACACTTAGCCTCCGTTGCTCCTAGAATTAATTCTTTGATTTTAGAGAACACGAACTGGGCGTGTTGGACATCTAGCAGGTTGGGAGTTATAATATTTCTCTTATATTATTTGGAGGTCTGTATATTGTATGCCCTATATATTATTATTTTTGTAAT